GAGGTTTTAGGAAATTAATCCACCCCGTTGGTTCTGGTTGTTGTTTTTTTTTTAATGGGTTGGTGATGTTTTTAACCAAGTCAAGGATGTGAGATCCTTTCTGCACATCGCCTTTATATATAAATTCACCCGTTGGTTTCCAATTAAATTGTGTCATCTTCAGCAGGTACTCTGCATTTCTCGTGCTGCGTGCCGGCAAATTCTGCAGCGCGTCTTGAATGACAGCTTCAGGTTGATCAGCTGGCACAGCAGCAGCAGCGGTATCAGCTGATTCAGAGCTCAGTGTGGTCGGGGGGGTGGGGGTGGGGCGGGGGGAGACGACACAATCTGTAAATCCTGTTGTAATCCGGCTCTCGCCAGAGCAAGATAACGCTGTAGCAGTGCGTTGTATTTCTTAATTTTCTCATACGGCATTAGTCCCGTCTCCTGCATAGTTAATTTCATATCCGCGTGAAGATCCGCCTCTGCTACGTCTCTGATGATGGGTTTTGTGAGACGGTGTAATTGTTGAGGGGTAACCATGAACATTTTTGAGAAGCCATTATTTCCTATTTGTTTATAACACCGCTGATTATTTTTCCTAGTAGAGGTGCAACCACTGCTGAATCGGCAGAAATCCGCCTTTTTGACTCATTAAAAGCTTTTTCTTTTAAAAGAGCTAGTTTTGTTATCAGCCAACTTCCGCAGGAGCGTTTTGTTTTTAGATAATTTCTTATACTGGAGAGGAGAGAGCCGGATGTTCCCTTTCAGCACGTTTAAAGCAATCTCGCACAGAGCGTGCACAACATCCAGCGAGCAGTCTTTTAAGAACTTGTGACATTTCTGGGGCTAATGTGAACCAAAGCCTTGAGAATCCTGGCATTGTGCTTTATCCTGGACGACACTGTTCTATTTTAGGCAAATATACCACCGGCATTTGACCCGGAAGTGCTCTGCTGCACAGCCTTAGACGTTCGGGTGTTTCCGGTTTCAAATCCACTATTAAATAACCGTGAGGGTCCTGTGTTGTGTCTTGGAAACTCTCGAGAAAATATATTTTTTGAGTAGGGTAGATTTGATTTGCTAAAACAGTTATTTGCAATTTATCTTGTGGATATTTAAACAAAATTAAATAACTAGTGTTTAGACTGATTGATCTATTATTTTTCCCTTGATGAAAGATATTTTGTGTGAGTAAAAAAAAACACTCATATTCCAATGATGTCTGTACTTAGTGAATAATTTTACCACTTCCGGATGGTTGGACATCTGCTGCATCAGATCATCTAAAATAATCAAATGAGTTTGCTCAGGTGGAAACATTTGATCGTCATCGAATGAAGAAGGGAGACCTTGAAAAAATCTAATATTTTTATTACAAAGTTTCAGATCATCATAAATTTTCTGATAAGAAGTAAAAAAAAAAACAAATGATATTGTTTGGCATTTCAGTCATACATTCCAGACAATTTTCCAAAATACTTTTTACAAAAAAAGTCTTCCCACAGCCTGATGGTCCTGCTATCAGAGTGCTGAAAGGGACTTTCAGTCTGGGATCAAAATGAGTTTCCATTTTCACTAATCTAATAACCACAAGGCAGAGTTGTTCCGTCAGGAAATAACCTCTGATTATCAAAAACCACACAAAACTTTTTCACAAATGAAGCATTTGAGAGTGAGCCCTTCTTTAACCACAGGTTGTTCAGAACGCTGCTGCCCGGTTCTTGACGGGTACACACTGACGTAGCCACATTACCCCTGTCCTGACACATCTTCACTGGCTCCCTGTCATTTTCAGAGTGCAGTTTAAGTTACTGACTTTTGTTTTTAAAGCACTCAATGACCTGGCACCTCCCTACCTCTCTGCCCTTCTCACTCCATATGTGCCCACTCGCACGTTGAGGTCGGCTGACCTTTTGCTGCTGTACACGCCATGGATGAGACTAAAATCGCTGGGGGATCGAGCATTTGTGCATGCTGCCCCAAAGCTTTGGAACTCTTTGCCCATTGGAGTTCGGCAGGCTCCGTCTCTGGCGGTTTTTAAATCTCGTTTAAAGACCCACTTTTACACTTTGGCTTTTAGACAGTGACTCGTTTTAGTGTTTTATTGTATCATTGTTTTAATTGTGTTCTTAGGATTCATCATGTTTTACCTGCCTTTGATTGAGATTTTTATCCTTTGTTTTAGCTCCTTGTAATGGTTGTGTTTTGTTTTAGCCTGTGCAGCACTTTGGGCAGCTCCCATGCTGCATTTTAAACGTGCTATATAAATAACCTATGCTATGCTATGCTTTATCCCTCCCAATGGTGTCCTGACGCACCTGCAGAAACTCCCCCCTCTCTCCACCAAGGTATCCCTCCACCAGCTGTGCCACGCCGTCAAAATTAATCTGATTAGATGAGATAAAAGACTGAGTGATACCCTTAGCCTTTAACTCCACCTGCTGGCGGTCCCAGGTTTTGTAAGCGTAGCTTTTGGGCCCCGATGATGCAAACTCTTGAATGGAATCACCTCCAAGTTCATCAGTCAGATCTCCCAGAAACGATCCTGTGGGGGGAACACACTCGCCCGGTTTTACAGCATAACTCACGGAATCTGTGTCTAAATAGAGCACACGATTTTCCAATTTAGTCAATTCTTTTAATGATTTGAGACGTGCACGCGCTGTTGTAAAGAGATTGTTACTCCTGCCAGGAGGTGACACACATCTCTCACTCAAGCTGTGCTGCACCAGGACCACTTCAGAGGTTATAAATTGGAAGAATTTAACTACGTATTTATCTGAAAACAAAAGGTCAAAAATTGATCAGGATTTTTAACGAATGTGGTTTGTACAACTTCATTTCGCTGTCCGAATTTTCCCCACAATGAATTGAGAGATAATTTTGAAATGGAACGTTTAGCAGGATCACACTCAATTTTTACCAAATGTGAAGTATCCCCTGATGAAGTTCATAGTCTTGAACATATTTCCTTTTTGATTCATCGTCAGTGACACCTTCAGGAAAACAAGAGGCTTGTTGCTTGTGTTTCAGAAACGTGTGAATATAGCCGGCAAACACATTTGTGCTGCTTTTGTCAAAATCCCACACCTC